CGTTTTAGGTAGGCGTGGTTGACTCTTAACTTTTATAAAGAATATCTCTTTGGATTTGAGACTTTAGTCTTTGCAACTTTACAGATCTTCTTTATGCACCAAGAGCTTGTAACACTACAAAGAGAAAGGAAAATTTGAAATCGCATCATATGACCCCTTTAAAACAGACCACCATGATACACCAGCCTCTTTTTTTCCTCCCTCTTTTTCAGCTGGCCGCTCTGACCGAGCCCAAATGCGTGCTGAGCTCACTAAGATCAATTCTGTCATCAGCGAACACACCAGCAACCTCTCGCCCTACCAGTTCCTCACAGCCTTCTCACAGCTCATCTCCCGAATCTGCCACTCCAATAACGAGGTCTTTGCTGTGCTCATGGAGATTGTGGCCAAAGTTTTCTTGGCTTACCCTCAACAAGCTATGTGGATGATGACGGCTGTGTCAAAGGTCATACATCTCAGTCACATCTACAACCATAAATGATGTCTTTTCATGGAAATGAACTGTGTAATGTACATGCTTTCATTTTTTAGTCCTCCTATTCAACTCGAATGAACAGATGTAAGGAGATCCAGAAGAAGGCTGTCAGTTTGAATGAGTCATTTGGGAAATTTATAGGAGATGCCAACAGACTGACTGACAAGCTGGTGGAGCTCGGCAATAAACCAGTAGGACAGACTGTACCGCTAGCAAGAAAATAATATTTCGATTTCCAAGGAAACAGCTTTTGTGCATTTATTATTAATCTTTAGTACTCCTCAACTTTCCCCTTAGGCATTCATTTTCAAAATCAGTTGGTTCTTAAAATTACTCTTGCATTTGTATGCAAGCAGACTGTGTTTTTGTGTAATTGTGTAGGTGGATGGGAACAGCAGCACCCTCAGCATGAGTGTACACTTCAAAATGCTGAAGAAACTGGTGGAAGAGCCCACCTTCAGTCAGATCCTCATCCCCCTGCAGTCTGTCCTTATACCCACCCTACCTTCCACTGGAGGAGCCAACCCCAAACACGATGCCTTTCCAGGACACTGGGTCTACCTCGCTGGCTTCGATGACACAGTCAGGCCCACTATACTCCAGTTTTTGAGCACATAATGCATCACTCTAATTTTCGATGATACTTTATTCATGATATCATTATACGTTTCATTTCATGAAGGTAGAGATCTTGGCATCCTTGCAGAAGCCAAAAAAGATCTCGCTCAAGGGCTCTGATGGAAAGTTCTACACCATGATGTGCAAACCTAAAGATGACCTGAGGAAAGATTGCCGCCTGATGGAGTTCAACTGTCTCATTAATAAGGTACTAGAGTTGTGCTGTTCACGATATACTTGAATGATGAACTGCATTTTCCTGAGAACTTTCCTAATCAAAATGCGCCTTTGTTAGTCTTTGAGGAAAGATGCAGAGTCTAGACGGAGGGATTTGCACATTCGGACATACGCGGTCATCCCTCTGAATGAAGAGTGTGGCATAATAGAGTGGGTCAACAACATGGCGGGGTTACACCACATCCTCACGAAGCTGTATAAAGAGAAAGGTGTGCTGATTTCATAGCCTCTAGTTCTCTTCTTAAGGATGTAAAGTGTATGTCATAATGGAGTAATGCTGTGTCGCATAATATATCCTGACACAGATCATAAAAAAATCTTGTATCAGTCTGAAGTGGTTTATTTTATAATAATCATCAGCTTACAGTTTTTATCACAAAATAAATAAACATACATAGGCCTACTGCCATTCAAATCTTTGGGGCAGTAAGATTTTTTTTTTTGACAGGATGCATTAAATTGCTAAAAAAAAATGGGGAGTGAAGACATTTTATAATGTTACAAAAGATTTCTGTTTCACATTCATCAAAGAATCCTGGAAAAAAAAAAAATATATATATATATATATATATTAGGCAGCACTATTTACAACGATAAAAATAAATATTTCTTGAGCAGCAAATCAGCATATTAGAATGATTTCTGAAGGATCATGTGACACTGAAGTCTGAGTAATGGCTGCTGAAAATTCAGTTTTGCCATTACAGAAATAAAATACATTTTAAAACATATTCAAATAGAAAACATTTATTTTAAATTATAATAATGTTTCACAACATTTCTGTTTTAATACATTAATATTAATATATAAATATTACATTAATACATTTTTATTTCAATGGGTATGTATTGTATATAGGCATGAAATATCGATTAACCAATCAGAATCAATTCTAGAGAGTGTTAAACATGCTGTTTTAATATTTAGTATTTTTTTTAAAGTTTTCACTTCCCATTTTTTTTTATTGTGCAATTGGTGTATATTTTGAACAGGGATCTATGTCAGTGGGACAGAGCTGCGAAAGCTGTAGTATTTTTTTTAAAGTTTTCACTTCCCATTTTTTTTTATTGTGCAATTGGTGTATTTTTTGAACAGGGATCTATGTCAGTGGGACAGAGCTGCGAAAGCTGATTTTGCCAAAAACAGCATCTTTTCAGGAGAAGCTGAAACTGCACAAAGATGTGCTGTGTGCCAGACACCCACCAGTTTTTCACGAGTGGTTCCTACGGACGTTTCCTGATCCCACCTCTTGGTATACTGTATATTACAGGCTTTCAGAGTTTTATTCATATTCATAGTATCTTTGCACAGTAATATGCTAAATGTTTCTTAGTATTAGCTATTAAAGTGAGTTTTGAGTATTTCATTAGAAAAGCACTTACTTGAATGTCTTCGCACACGGGGCAAATGTGGCATTTCACAGGTACAACAGCAGGTCTGCTTACTGTCGCTCTACTGCGGTCATGTCTATGGTGGGCTATATTCTTGGCCTTGGCGATTGCCATGGAGAGAACATTTTGTTTGACTCCCTAACTGGCGAGTGTGTCCATGTGGACTTCAACTGCCTCTTTAACAAGGTGAGATGAATGAGGAATGTGACAATTTTATTACTCCCTATATTTGATATCTTGGGGTAACTGAAGAATAAATGTGTTTTTGGTGCTTAAGGGAGAGACATTTGATGTTCCTGAGGTGGTTCCCTTCCGGCTCACTCAGAACATGGTTCATGCGATGGGGCCGATGGGCACAGAGGGCTTCTTCAGACAGGCCTGTGAAGTCACACTCAGACTCATGAGGGACCAGAGAGAGCCACTCATGAGGTGAACATCTCTGAACTTACACTACAGTTCAAAAGTTTGGGGTTGATAAGATTTAAAAAAATATATTTTTGAAATAAGTCTCTTATTCTCACCAAGGCTGCATTTATTTGATTAAAAATACAGGACTAACTGTTATATGGTGAAATATTATAATTTAAAATAACTGTTATTGTTTTAATATATTTTAAAATGTAACCATTATTCCTGTGATGACAATTTTCAGCAGCCATTACTCCAGTCTTCAGTGTCACATGATCCATCAGAATTCATTCTGATATGCTAATTTGGTGCTCAAGGAACATTTATTATTATCAGTGTTAAAAACTGTTGTGCTGTTTAATAATTGTTATGGAAACCATGATGCATTCTTTTTCCAATTCTGAAAAAATATTGATAAATAGAAGGTTTAAAAGAACAGCCTTTATTTGAAATAGAAACCTGTGTAACCTTACAGATGTCTTTACTGTCACTTTTGATCAAATTTAATGTTAATGAAATAAGTGAAGAGTTCAGATGCAAAAGCCTCTAAGTGCCGTATGAAATTTTCTTCTAAAATGAGCATTTTTCTCAGGCTCCTATGTTTATGTTCAGTTATTTCACTTTAATGGCAATGAAAATAACCTATTCATTGCCATTAAAGTGAAATTACTGAACCTACACATAGGAGCCTGATAAAAATGCTCATTTTATAAGAACATTTCAAATGGCACTTTTTTGCATCTGAACTCTTCAAGTATTAATTTCTTTCAAAATAAAAACATACTGGCCCCTAACTTTCGAACGGAAGTATCATACATGCTGAAACATACATATCCATATCACCTCAGTTGCTCTCACTACTACTTGATGTTTATTATTTTTCTTTTTTGGTATATTATTTATCAATGGTTAAAGATTGACCAGTATTATTTTTTTATGACAGATGTTACGGATTAAGATTATGTTTATGGTTAAATGTTCAACCTGATATGCATTGGACTACAACAACCAAGGCAAAATATTCAATATGAATATTTTAATTATTTTTAATGAATTTGTAGCACTATGTTTATGATTATTTTTTTTTTTGCAATCTAAATAATCACTTTTGAGCTTAAAATCCAACGCTTTTCTCAATTGTAAATTAGTGCATTAAATAAGTAAGCTACTTTACCTGTAAACACTGTTATGTTCTTGTTGAATGCACAGTAGCGTTGAATGATATTCCGTATAGACCCACAAAATAGCAGCACTTATTGGTAGACATGATACTGCAGTAAAAATGCATGAATACTGAAAAATCTCTCAAACCAAATCTCTGTTCTATGTTGAGTGTGTTTGATTTGCGTAATGAGTTTAACATTTCATACAGTATTTGTTTAATACTTTAAATTTCATGATGCCTTTTTATTCCATTTCACCAGTGTTTTAAAAACATTCCTGCATGATCCTTTGGTAGAGTGGAGTAAACCTGTCAAGGGTTCCTCTAAGACACAAGTCAATGAATCTGGAGAGATCCTCAATGAGAAGGTACTTAGTAACTTCAGCCTGAATGAAGATCTTTACCTATATGACGTCTATCATATGTGCTTTTATATTCAGCTAAGCAGGCTTGAATTATGAATAAACATAAGGTATTATGGTTAGAAATTAGAATACACTTGCTTTGAGTACTTTAAGTGTCTCGTCTTTACATGCAATTTGAGCTGCTGCAGTTTAACTATAGATTAAGTAATGAGTTGTAAATAGCCATGATTTGATTTTGTTCCACTCTAGGCTAAAACTCATGTTCTGGACATAGAGCAGCGTCTTCAGGGAGTGATCAAGAACAGGAATAAAGTGATGGGCCTGCCTCTGTCCATTGAGGGCCATGTACACTACCTCATTCAGGAAGCCACGGATGATAACCTCCTGTGCCTCATGTACCTTGGATGGGGTCCTTATCTGTGATCGACATTTGCACTTCAGAGTTGGAGAGCATAATATTTCTGTTTAGTTCTGTACCTTTTTTCAAAAATGGTTATGTTTGTCAGTGTTATTTTCAGTTTTCCTCAAAAGGTTAATTACATTTTGTTGACATTTCAAGAATTTTGTGTTTTGTTTTGAAGGAATTCACAAGTAAAATATTAGCATTAGTGTAATAGTACAAGCAAATATTAAGCATTAGGTTTTAGCACTAAATATTTTAAATGATTCTGTGGATTCAAATAGCTTTTTTTTTTTTATAATATAACTGGAGTGGAATTAGTGGGTTGTGATACACCGGTTTTCTTTCATTTTTTTAGGGGAATATATTTGTTAATATTGCTCTTTCCGTTTGAGATGAGCCTGGAGGCTTTATGTTTCTCAACCAGAAATGTTATGAAAGCCCGACAGTGATATTTCAGTGTCCACAGAGTGTGAGAACGTTCCGCGCTCATTGTATCCAGGCGTATGATCAGTGAGTGATGATGCTGTGTTGTGAGCGTTATTCTGTCTTCTGATTGGCTGTCGTAATTATCTTCACACGCTCGCTGACAGCCAGAGCATCCCATCTTGTCACGCGCCTGTGAACCACCAGCTCCCGCCAAACGCCTTCTGTCACAATCTGCTTCAGGTATGTATTGAAATGGCGTGCCATTCGAATTTGTTTATTTATTGGAATTCAGTGTACTTTGTTTTAGGCAAAAACGTGTGTATCAAGGCGTTGCTCAAATGAAATCGAACGACGAACTGCAAGCCAGTAACGTTACGTTAGAGCAGAGTACGTTACAAACGAGTTATTCCTAAATATAAAATCAATGGAATTTTGTTATTGTCAGGCATTTACGATTGGCTCATTACCGCTAGTATGACCCGTTGTTTATTGGAAGTTATAGAGCCACATAATGCTCAATCTTGTCATAATATAGGCTACTTGTGTGACCTATTTTAAAAGCTACACAGACTGTCCTTGTGGTATCAAATTTGAGTTACAGTTAAATTATATCGGTATTAACGAAGCGTTTCAGTCAAACGAAGTGCACGATAACATCCTTTTTTTCTTCTTACTACAAATCAACCTGTCATCTGCTTTAAAATATACTGTTGCTATGCGTAGTATAAATACTACTAGACGTATTGCAATTTCCCCGATTACGTCAAATAATAGCATCAAAATAATATTGTCGCTGTACGGTTTAATATTACTGAATAGTTTTCACATATGTATGGCAGTGAATGTTTTAGCTGTCTGGAATAATAAAAAACACACAGGCTATGGGGGACCTGCATTACAATTACGTGAATGAGTTTAAAATCCTTTCAACATTATTGTTCAGCTGATAGGAGCTTAATGTTTTTTTTTCTGAAATAATGTTCATTACTTGTTTTGAAGATTCATTTGTTGTGCGTTTCTGTTGCATATATAAATTTCTCTCTGATCTCATAGCCAATTTGAAGTGTAGATTCAAAAGCATCAAAAACTAAAAACATTAGACAAAAAATTTTTGGGGATACGTTTCTTTGAAATGTTCTTAATCTTGTTCAAATTTGAGTAATAAAGGACGAGATAGTAAACACATTTATGATTTAAAGTACAATATAATATAAAATATTTGAAAAATGGCCCAAATTACAGGTAAATAAAAATCACAAAATCACAAATAATCCTCCTATATTTACTGTATCCTGTATTTGTCTCATGTCTAGTTACAGTTATGTATATGAAAACATGGAGCTGTCAAAGAGCGAAGATTCTTCAGATGATCGGAAGAGGTCAAGTAAGGCACATGGCCGATGTAAAGGGCCTGAAGAGCACAAATCTCAAATCACGATGAATAATGGATTTGTGAATACACACACTACTGATGAAAGCCCATCCTCACTGCCTGTGCCAGACACTCTAGACATACTGTCTCCAGGGGTTAGTGACACGCTCTCAGAAGGTCACAGACGGCTCCGTAGCTCTTTTAGAAGAAGCAGAACCCATGACTGTGTGAGAAGAATGGGACAGCAGCAAGCTGAGAGCCCTGGATACAAAGATGGGACCAACTGGCGCCATCACCATAAGCTGGTGACCAGTGTCAGCTTTTCAGGGTTCGAGGCGCCTCTAAGGTTGCTTCGTGAGAATCGGGAAACATCTGGCAGCAGTCGTGAAATCATCGATTACCGTAACCTAACACCTCAAGTGCCCTTTGTGCCCTGCATAGCCAAATCCATTCCTAAAAAGAGGATCTCCCTGAGGAAACCTAGGAAGGCCATTAAGGACTTGTTTGTTCACAAAAGACACAAACATGAGAAAGCTGTGTCACCAAGTACACCATGTCGTATTGTAGGTGAAAATGTTCCATCACTGAAACGGACGAGGAAGACGGTAATACACAGAGAGCGTACCACTGCAGGAAGCAGATTTAATGACGAACTCAGTGAGACTCCCTCTGATTCTTCCAGTGAATGTTGTGCTAATGTCTGTGAGGATGCTGCTTCATTAAAAAGCTTTGGATCCCAGGCTGGTTGTGGTGAGATATTTGCTGATGATCTCGTATCACCTGAGGGGGTTCTTAGCCCAGAGCGTCACAAAGTTGCCTGTGAACCTCCAAAACAAAGCCATACTACTGCAGGTTTCCAGGGAGGTAAGGAATGTCTGGCCTCTCCAGCTCACGCTGAGGTCTTGGACATGTTTGGGTTGTGGGAAACCCTAAACAGAACTTTGCTATCAGGGCAAAGTTCAAAAGCACCAGGACATGCAACAAAATCCACAACACCTATCACAGAATCTCCTTCCACAACCAAGTCTGAAGATGTAACAGCAAATACACCACGACCTGTAGAATCCGAGATCAGGGAATTTAATACTGATGTGATAACACCCAAAAGTGACAACCAAGGGAACACCAGTGATGAGGGCTACTGTGATCATGTTTCTCCTGGTTTTGAGGACCACAGCAGAAGTTCCCTCACTCCAGTGCATTCCAGTAAGTTCCCTAGGGACACGTACAGTGGAGATGCTCTTTATGAGCTATTCTGTGACCCCAGCGAGGCAGAGATTACCCCGATCTTTGATGACGAGCTCGATCTAACAGACAGCATTGTTGGCCAGTGCAGTGATCTTCCATTGTCCATGTACAGCTTCCATGTTGGAGCAGAGGAGAATCTTGCCCCACCTTTGGCTCAGGACTTTGTTGGTCAAGAGCTTCTGCAAAGTAAATGGATGGGGAAGGATTGCTTACTAAAGCTTTGTGACACTGAGATATCTATGGCTATGGGTATAGTTAACTGGCTAAAGCATAGGACAGACCAAAGCAACCCAACAGAATTGAGATCTTCAAAAATTAACAGTGAAGATACAAGAGATGCATGTCTGAGATGCGAAACCCAGTCAGCAAGGGTTAGAAAACCAACAAAAGGAGCAAGAACTGTTAACTGTAGAGGAGACACTGTTAATTTCAAAGAGTCAAGTCAAAAAAGTGTTGGTGTTCTGCCCTCAAAATATGATGCAAATACAGTGATGTCAACCTTGGCCTCTCCAGAGAGCCAACCCAGGACCCCAATGAGTGGTGTGTGTTTCAGGATATTCAATATCGACTCTCCTATGACTCCAGGTAGAGATTTGCAGTCCCCAGTGGTAAGCTCCCCTGGCTCTGGGACAAGGTCTTTGTTTGTGTTGGCCATAAACAAGGATTCTCTTTGTGAATCCTGCAAGAATTCCTTGAAAAATGGAGCTAAAGAAATGCACCTGTGCCGTTCTTGTATGTCCCTCATTGAGCACATCAAGACTTCAGACCTTTGGGCCCATGCCAGTCTTCCCAGATCCACTCCAGTTCCACAGCCAATAACCAGAGACCTATTCTCTCCAGCCAGCACCTGTGGGATAAGAAGTGACATCAGCATAGCTTCCCTTGTTGAGCAGTGTGCTAGTCAATTGTCTTCTTTGAATATCAACTTAACTCAAGCTCACTCAAGCTGTAAGATAAGAGATGCCCTTGTGCTTGATCAAGGGGCAAAACGGAACAAAGAACAGTCTGAAAAATACATAAAGTCAAAGCACAAGAAAAGGCCAGTGGCAACTACTGAGAGAGGCTTGCATGCTAGACATCGCTTGAGGGGGTCCAGCTTTTCTGAAGATGTGAAACCTTCCCTTTTAGAGACTGAGGGACTTGTCACTACCAATGCTTCCGATGATTTGGTGTTGGAAACTTACGGTCCATGTGATGTTGAATCTGGTGATGCAGACGTATCTCAAGCTACCAGGCCTACATCTCTTCCTCTCATGGCCTCTGCCTCTTCAGATTTTTTTTGCAGAGAGGACCACCATAATAAGGTGGAAGAGGGAAACCCATCCAAAAATAAGCATAGATTACGGCATCACAGGAAGTCTGCTGTGAATAGTGAGGGATCATGCAGTGTCTTTCCAGGGGATAGGAAAGTAGAACGCAGATGCCGAATGAAGAATTGAAACAGGTGCTGGATTTATCTAATCAAGAGTTAGCACATATTTGCACAATTATGTCTTTTCAGTGCTCATCCATCCATCCATCCATTTAATTTGACATTAAATATAATACAATAATTGCAATCTGCAGTCTAAAATATATTTAGACACTTGCCACACTGCAGGACATTGCCACTGTCACACGTCATGTTGACTATCCAGTTCATAATTTTTTTTTTTTGTGAAAATTTCCAAAGCTCTAGATTTCAAGTGTTGACACTCTTATTATGATTTAGGACAATTTGTCATGCATAAAGTATTGCATACATATATATGTTTACATTATGTATTTGCTTGATTTGTAGCTTTCCAAATCACTGTGATCTTATTGCGAGAAAAATAGAGCTAAAAAAGTTTAATTATTAATGACTGTAGGGGTGCTTGAGAAGCACCTGTGCTATTGAGGCCTCAGAGGAAACATGTCACTTAGTCCTTCATCCTGCTGTCAAATTCTCACATGCCTTGCAGGTATACTCACAGCAAGCACTTTCTCCTTTAGTTCACTCACAAACAGTGGCAAGAGGTGAACAAATTGGCATGCTGTACTGTAACAGGCTGTCAGTTGCAGGAGGTGAGCATTATGCAGTTTTTAAAAACATACAATAGGAAAATTGGAAAGGTTCAACAACATAATACTAAATATATTCTAATGTCTTCTTTAAAGCATTTTCAAAGTAGTTTATTTTTACAACTTACGCAGTCATTATAGTGCAGAAGCACATTTTGCAGATCAGGGCCTTTAAAACCTCTTCTTTAATTACATCATAAGGGAGTCAGTGGCCACTGTTTTGTGCTTGTGTCAGGGGAAGTGTTTGTGTCTCAGCGTTTCAAGGCTTTCTGGGAATGATTCTACTGTAGCTGGGTCAGCAGATGTGCTCGAAGACTCTGATCTATAGGTTGTTTGGTGTGTGCGTCACTGAGCATTGATGGACTCGATGTGTAATTAGGATTTTAGGGGGAGGGAGGGTTTTAGTCGTTTGGTCTATTATTAGTACTCTCATGCAAACTATTCCACAAAAAAAGATATGGATACATTGAAATCTACAATAAGCATTGTCTTTATGGGTTTGTTACTTACTTGGCACCTTTAGAATTATAGTTCTCCAGGCGAGAGTGTTTGGAGTACATTAATGAGCACTAAGGATAGCAGAGCTGCTTTTGATAGGGCTTCAAGGTCAGATATCCTCCCTACATATCTGTCTTGTTATATATTTCAGCTGATATCTTGAAACCATAGCAACAGCACTTAGATGGGAAAGCTCTCAGTATATTGGCAGTGTACCAGCATGAGTGTGGAAATGATGTTAGTGTCGTAAGCTTCTGATTTAGGATTTGAGGCTGCAGGTAATTCTTTCATGTAATTGTTTTACATTCCTTAGGTGTATAGAGTTGTGTTTTGATGATGATTTTATTGTTTTTATTTTGCTTAGACCCTTTTTGGTGATTAGGAATTTTTGTCTAAAAAGAAAACACCTGACCTGTGGTAATTAATAATTTAAAATGATAACGGTGGAACTGAAAGTAAATGGAATTTGAGGAGAATAGCTTGTTAATAATTTAACAAGGCTGTCTGGCCCTGTTGACAAAGAATTAGATTCAAATTTAAAATGTCCTAAATGTTTTTTTTTCTTTGTGTAAACTTTTGATGGACATTTTACAGCCTTTTTGCAAATCTGCCTACCCCATTTCTGCTGCTTAAAGGGGCCCCAAAATGTGGGTATCACAAGAGCACTGATTGTGTCAGATTGCAGGTTGCTACATACTTATTTACTCTTAAGGAACATTTATGTGTGATTAGAAGATCTGTAAAGTTGCAAAGACGAAAGTCTCAAATTCAAAGAGATATTCTTTATAAAAGTTAAGTCAA